TTTGGGGACACTGGGACAGCCAGCCTGGCTTTGGGGACACTGGGCTGGCCAGCTCCAGGGGGAAGCACTCCATCTCCCTCTGGGGCCTCCAGCTCCCCTAGGGAAGGTGTCCCCGTGCACATTTTGGAGGCACATCCTCTGTCAGGTGCCCTCCAAGGCCTCAGAGGTGGAACCTGTCGGGGCTGCTGAGTGGAAGAGGCTCAGGGAGCTGCTGCTGCTGTGCCCCTGGCAGCTGAGGTGGGCAGCACAGCCACACAGAGGCACAGCAGAGCCTGCCACAGCTCCCTCCCACCACTGGCAGCACTTGCAGAAACAGAGGCACCACAGAACCCTGAGCAGTTGCACCACATCCCTGCATTAACTGAACAGTTCCCCTTCCCATCCCGCCTGCCTGCAGGAGCCAGGCAGTGCCCAGGGCAGACACCCAAACCCCACATGTGCAGCCTGTGCTGCCAGGGAGCTGCCTGGTTTATATTCTAGTTATTCAGGATTCAGGAACTGCTTGGGAGGGTCTTCCCTGGGATAAACACTTCACAGCCATCACTTGAAAAGCAACTTTGATAAAAAGAGTATCAAGACATTTCAGAAAAACAATTCTAGCAGAGAGCTGGGAGGTGAGAGGAAGTATCATCACAAGAGTTTTGTGAGAATCACTTCAATGACTGTTTGTTTAAAAACAAAGAAAAACAACCAAATAAAAACTTACCTCAAAGTCTTGATACTGCTCTTCTGTCAGAGACTTCTTGGCCACGACAAGAACCCTCAGGCCTTCCCGAGCCATGTTACCACACTGCGAAGAAGGATCACGTTGTAAACCATAAACTCCACAGAAATGATTTATGCACAGCAGTGGGAGATGGCAGTGTAAGATAGCAGGTTAAGAAAATAACCAACTCGTTTGAGCAACCCCAGTGAGTCTACAATATCTGATAAAGTGCACGATAAACTCGAGAGGAAAGAGGGGATCTGCAGTGCTTTGTGACCTAGCTCAGTGATCAGGAAGAAAAATGTCCTCTCTGCTACACCAGGGCAGCAAAAACAACCCCAATGATTAGATTTTCTCTGTCTAAGTAAAAGACACGAGCCTGTGATTTGTAGACTTCACATGTTTGGCAACCAACTCTTGGAAATAAGACCAAGATATTATTATTTCTCTGAACACCAGAGAATCAGTAAGTGAAGCTACTTTTGAGGATGCCCCTGGATCCCTGGCAGTGTCCCAGGCCAGGCTGGACAGGGCTTGGAGCAGCCTGGGATGATGGAAGGTGTCCCTGCCCACGGCAGGGGTGCAGTGGGGTGAGATTCCAAACCATCCTGGGATTCCATGAACTCTGTGCCACCATGACTGCTGCCCTGACAAACATCCCCCAGTATAAAGCTGCCAAATGCAGGTTTGAAATTAGACCCTTCAGGCTAAAACAGATCCAAACACAGAATCAAGCCCAGCACAAATTTGGTGAGCGTCCATCAGTTTTGAGCAAAACCCATTTTATTCACAGGACTTATTCCCCATTAAATTTGCTGAGTTTGCCACTGACACCCTTGCTCCTGTGGATGCGTTTGGCTAATCCAAGGAATTGCCAGGATCAGAACCTTCTGGCTTGCAGCCTTTTCAGCAGTTAAGTTGGCTATTTCACCCCTGCTGCTGTGGCCTGGAGCAGAGCAGCAGGGGCAGAGAAGGGACACAGAAGGGACACAGCAGGGACAGAGAACAGGGACACAGCAGCAGGGACAGAGCAGGGACAGAGGAACAGGGACACAGCAGCAGGGACAGAGCAGGGACAGAGGAACAGGGACACAGCAGCAGGGACAGAGAAGCAGGGACACAGCAGCAGGGACAGAGAAGCAGGGACACAGCAACAGGGACACAGCAAGAGAGACACAGAAGGGACAGAGGAACAGGGACACAGCAGCAGGGACACAGAAGGGACACAGCAGGGGCACAGAAGAGACACAGCAGCAGGGACAGAGGAACAGGGACACAGCCAGGACACAGCAGGGACAGAGCAGGGGCACAGCAGCCCTGGCACAGCCCCCATACCTCCTCCTCCAGCCAGTCGTTGTACTGCACGATGCCAGCCATCACCACGTCTGCCCCCTTCATGTAGAAGGTGATCTCTCCTGTGGATTCATCCTGCAGACACAACACAGCAGTCTCAGCTGGGCTGGCACTCACACACCTGGGGCAGGTGAGGGGCCACCAGCTCAGCTGCTTGTCTGGGGCCAGGAGGTGCCTGCTGGATTGTAACTCAGCTCCTCACAGCAGGAATTCATGCTTTACACAAGGGGCATCAGCTTTTTAATCAGCATCTCCACACAGCAGAGCCCTCCCAGCCCTGCCTGTGCCTCCAGAATAACCTCAGCCCTCACCCTGAAACCTGAGCCCTCTTACCTGAAACAGCAGAGCAGATGCACAAAGCACAGCAGAGTAAAAATCACTGATTCACCTGCTCTCTTACACCATATGGAATAAGCTTAGATTGCTGCCTGCCTTATCGGATACAAGGAGTTTATAGGCTGCAAGCAAAGCATATTTACAGTACCACAAATTAAAAAGCCCCTTCTAAGCAGGCAGATACATAAAGAGGCCACAGCTCTGAGTATAACAAGCTAATGGAAACCTGGCAATTTCCTCAAAGGAGATGAAATTATGAGTAAGGAACAAACTGCTCTGTAAACTTAGACAGCCACCAGGGATAGGAGGAAAACAAACTTAAACTGCAAAATCAAAAAGCCCAGGAAGGTCTGAAATAAACAGCTGTGAATGAAGGGACCAAAGTACTTTAGGAATAAGAGAAATTAAAGAAATGCCAAGTGGATACTTCTTCATTCTCTCACCTAGTATTTGGGTGAGTCTGTTCCACCATTACAGAAATTAGTGGTGGAGGTTCTCACACAGAAATAGGTTAAAAGCCCCAGGTCCTGTGGCACTGGCAAAACAGAGTTTAAATCCACAGGGGGAGAAAAAAAAAAAAACAAACAAACAAAAAAAAAACACCACCCTACAAAAAAAAACAACACCGCCACCCAAGCCACCCAAAATGTAGCACCTGATATGGACACTAAAACTGAGGAAATGAAGAAGTAGACAAGGATAATGAAGCTCCTTTGCTGAATATTTTTGCCAAGCTCACAGAGATATTCACAAGGAAGATGCTTGTAATTGAGCCCAAGTATGGTTTTCAATTCCTGGAACATCCAGCCCTCACAGAGTGATACACATCCCACATCCCCAGAGGAAAACGGGTGTCACTCTTCCAACACTACCAGAATGTGCTTAAATAAAATACACCACTTCTGCCAGTAGCCAAAGGTAAAGGTTTATCTATGAACTAATTTGATTAAAGAGTGTCTAACAACATCTCTGTAGGAAACCGAATAAATCTGCACTTCCCGTGCTGCAGAGCTGGCTCAGGATAGTTTAGATTTTTTGTCCAATATAAATACTGCATCAGCTATCTCCCTGCATTAGTCATTTCCTCTGCCTGAGTTCAGGAGGAGGTTAGTGCGTTCTCAGATCGTGGCAGCATCACTCTACAAATCTGCACACAGATTTGCCAGTTATATTGTTTTGGGGAAGCATCTTTTTCCACCATGGTCTGCCTCTGGCCACGGTTCAAAGGCTCCTTTCAATTCCAGATATGACAATAGCACTATCTCTGCTCTGCAACAAAGATCATTCCACACGGGTAAGGGGAAAAAACCCAAAGAAAACGAAGGATGGAAAATATTGTGGTCAAACAAACAGGCCTCCTTCAAAGAGGAAGATAAGGCAGTGCACACTGTGCTGGGGAGGCTGCTTGGGTAGAACAGGGTTTCTCAGAACTGAAATAATCAGGTACAGAAATGACAGTTGACTGCAAGGAAACACTCAGATATTGTAAAAATATCCCAAAGCAGGCAACATCTGCCACTTGTTACCACTATTAATTGCTTTATTTACTGAAGTTGTGTTGAAGGAGATCTGTTCCCTGGGGCAGAGCAGACAGGATGTGCAGGGAGATGGTGCCTGCAGGGACAGCACTGCTGGGCTGGACACACAGCTCTGCTCACACGCTGGCTCCAGGCTGGGCAGGAAGCCTGGCAAAATTCTACAGGGCTCTCAAGAGCCCAAAATTGCAGTTTTTAGGACAGGCAATACCTGTGCAGGTGAGCAGGAATGTTTCCCTTTGGGTTCTGCTCATGGCAGTGCTGGCTGCAGCTTCATCTCCCTCCCTGGGTGGATTTTCCTCTGGATGCTTCATGCTGCTCTCCCTCCCCTATTTCTGTTTTTTAAACAGGCAGCACAGTTTAGGAGAAGCACTGAAAAGCTGAACACCCTTCAAGTTGTGGATCAAACCAAATGGAGTGCCTCCACATACACATATAAATATTTAATTGAAGCAAACTTTACTTGATAACTACCTATTTTAAAAATGTTTTGTTTGGTTCTTAAATGGAAATTAAACCCTGCTTGAAGATACTATTCTGGAGTATAGAGAAATGTGGCAAAGTAATACCCAAGGTCTGCTACTCAACCCTAATTCTGCACAGGGCACACAGGGAGCTGATTTTAGTGGCTTGGAGCAGCTGAGTGGCTACAAAATAAAGACAATTCACAGAGAGGGACCAATACTCCTTTAGAGGTATTTACAGTCAGGACCTAGGCCTGATGTTGCTCCCACTGACCACAAGTGGGAGTTTTGCTGGTTTTGCCTAAAATACAAACAGCAAAATCCAAACAGAGAAATACAAACTAGAAACCTTTTCATTTCTAGTGAGGGAGAAGATAAATAGTAGGTAATTTAATAGGAATAAACTTCAAATCAAAGAAGGGAAAAAAAACCTCTTATACTCATGATGAGAAAATTTCAGTGCATTCACTTCTGTTGAGCACAAAACCACAATTTAATGAAACTCACCCTGGCTTTGATGGTTTGTCCACCTCTTATACCTTTGATAAAACAGCATTTCTTCAAAAGCTTGCACTTGCAATAAAAGCAATTTAGTCCTCCCTCTTCTATTGATAAGATTTTTATTTTAGGTCGCGAAAAGATTGCCCAGAGTCTCCACATAATTTTCATTCTAGAAGTAATTAATTTGAAGAATTTGCACTGGACTGGATACGCACTGCACTTGTTGCAGGTATCCCCAGCAGCACAAGGCATTTGTGGGAACACTCAGGGTATGCCCAGGGCATCCCCTGGCTCTCTGAACTCCCAGATTTACCACAGGGATTACTCTGTACCAGGTCAGCCCCTCAGCTCCCTTCCCCTGCCACCCCTGCCCTTGGCCACGTGTTCATATTCCAGAGTCTCCTAAATTTTTCCCCTCCCAGGGAGGGAGTGGATTGTTGATACAGCCCTGGCTGGCTGCCCTGCTGTGTTCTGGTGACACCTCTGAGCAGGAGGCCAGCCCAGGTGAGCCCCAGGTGCCCCCAAGCTGCCCCAGATCAGCCCCAGGTGCCCCCAAGCTGCCCCAGGTGAGCCCCAGGTGCCCCAGGCTGCCCCAGGTGCCCCCCCAGGCTGTCCCAGGTGAGCCCCAGGTGCCCCCAGGTGAGCCCCAGGTGCCCCAGGTGTGGCTGCCCCGGGACTGGCAGCCCTTACCCGCACGATGATGCCCATGCGCTTGCTCTCGTAGGTGAAGGGGAAGATCTGCAGGATGGTGAAGTTGAGGATGTGCCCCCCTGGGCTCCTCAGCTGCACTGAGGACTGGTCTCTGCCCACCAGAGTCAGGCCCACGCTCTCTGTCCACTGCACCAGGGCCACCTGCGAGGAGAAGGGCACAGTGAGGGCTCCTGCCACACCTCCCCAGGGCAGGGACAGAGGCGGCTGCAGAGGATTCATCAGTCATTAATTCACAGTCATTAGCTCTGTGGTATTCTCTATGTGTTTAGCAGTACCAGCTCATCCACAAATTTCAACGATTTTGCAGTGATCACCAAGACAGCTGAAGGCTGGCTCAGACACTTCTTAGCACAGAACCCTTCTCCCTAAATATTAAAAAACAAAACAAAAAAAAAAAAACCCTACTAAAAAAACAAAAAACCCCAACAACCCCAAAAAAACTCCCAGATTGTTCAAGGTTTAACTGAACTGAGGTGGGCATAATTTTGATTGTAGCCTCTACTATTTCAGGACCTACAAAACTGAGTTCTTTGCAAGCTTTTGCTCAATTGCAGCCAGAGCCATGCCAGCAACCAAAGCCTTTCCTTTTCTTCCCTGAGAATGCCCCGGAGTGCCCAGCTCAGCTGCCACATCCATCTCAGCCTGAGCTTGCTGAGATTTACCTCCAGAAGCTGCCTGGGCAGTAACAGATGGAGCAGCAGCTGACATGAGCCCATCCATCACTGGCCCCAGAAAGGATCAAGGGATCCTTTCCCTAAACAGACATGAAATACTGGAAGTGTTTTACAGTGACATTTTCAAAGGCACAAGAGTGCTGGGCACATGGTTGCTGTTGACGTGAAGGTTAATTATCCCTCCTGCCTTTCAGGTTCTGCCTCTACTGCCTCAAGTGACCACAAATACCTCAGTTAAAAATGAAATTGATCTTGGAAAATCACATACAAGAGATACAAATAAAATCAGAACCTGTAAATACTTGCACCGAGTTAAGATTTTATTGATGAATTGATACCATTGGAACTAACTGAAGCTTTTGTGAACTCGGCTCCTTTTCATCCAAAAGCTCAAAAGAGAACCTAAAACAAACTTTTCCTTTCACAAAGTAGTCTTAAATTGTCAGATTAAAAAAAAAAAAAAACAACCAAGTAATTGAGTTGGCTTTGCCTTGAAAGACCTTTAAGTCAATTTGAATCAATATTTGGCTTAATATTAACAAGTTTGTGCAGGCTTACTCACAAAGATTATGACAAATCAAAGGCTCTTTCAAGCTTATCTTTCTCAGAAGTTTCTACAAGCCATCCGCAGTGCATTAAAGTGTGCAGTCAGATAATCCTCCTAGCAGCCTCCCAGAGCAGAGCTGGAGCTTGGCTTTCTAACACTCTGGTTAATAAAGAATTATTGGGAATTATTCCCAGCGTGACGCTGCGTGACGTTCAGCGTGTGCAGCCCTGGTTGCTCTGCCTGGGCTGGTGAGCTCCAAATGCCTGGAGGTACAAACCTGGTAAAGATCTGCTCTGCACAGACACCTCCTCCCTCCTTCCCTGCCAGCATCTCACTGATTCCCACCTGCACCTCACTGCCATCCCTGCAGCTCTGAAGGCAAAGCCCCGTGCGGAGGGACAAAGGGACGAGCAGTGTCGGAGGTGGCAGCAGGGCACTGAGAGCTCTCCTGGCAGTGCCTGGCACTGGGCTGGGATGGGCAGCACACCCAGCTCCAGCTCAGACACAACAGGTTTGCTCTGCAAACACGGAACTCAAGCTGCTCTCAGCCACAGCACAAAGATGAGAAATGTTCAAGATGCAAAAGTGCATTTACAGCTTAGAGGAAGGAGAATTAAAAGCAGGCTTGAAATCCCTTGATTTAAAGGGAGCCCGTGCTCACTGATGAGGGAAATCAGTGAAGCCCAGCCAGCATTTTTCAGCTCCAGCCAGGCCAGGCCTGACTGAGACCTGAGAATTTCAAAGCACAGCAGCCCAGCACAGCGTCCTCCAGCCCTGCTCTCCCCGACAATTAAATTAGCCAAGCCACCACTGAAGTGAATATCGACTAATAAATTTCATTCTAAAGAGACAAATTGATCCTCCTGTGCCATGAGCTGCTCTGCAGGGTCCCCTCTGGGTTGCCTAGGCAGGCAGACAGCAGGCAGAGACCAATTGATCCCGCACCCTTTCATGTGCTGGCAGCTGCCGCCCTGTCAGGGTTAAAGACTGTTTGCCCAGGAATCCCAGGCCTCTTATCTCTGATCAGATTATATCTATTTCATTTCCCCTCCTAGTTACTGTATGGCTACAACTGACAACTGGCTCGCAGAGCCCCAAGGCTGTAACTGATATCTGAATAAAGATACTTCAAGACTTCTAAATGGCAGCGTGCACAGGAAACAAATTTAGGAAATCCTGCTTTCTGTTACAGGAAATGAATCCTATGCCAACTGGTAGAAATTACCCTTGCTGTTAAAGTAAAGAGAACACAAGTTTTTGTACTCATTTCATAAACTGACCTTCCCTGCCATGGCAATATTTTATTGATATAGGATTTCAAAGGCTGGCTTTAACAGGAGTCCAAAGCCATTCCCCTACAGGGAATGTTATTTAACAGCATTACTCCCTTTTCAAGGGCTCCACTTGTGTAGGTCCTGCATTTTGTACCATCTAGGATGACATACAGAGCACAGCTAAATAATATTTGTATATCCAAGACCTACAGACAAGATTTCCTCAGTGCAGCAAAGCATATCTGATTTCTGAACCTGCTGTAATTCTCTACTTAAGATATCACAAGAAAGGAAAAAAGAATTTAAACAATAATCTTGGAAGGATTAGTTATCATGCTATAGTAAAATAAATAAACAATATCCCCCGGGTATTTCAGACAAATTGCTGTGTAAATATTTTAAGGACAGAACTGTATAAAGAGTAAAAGTAAAAGAAAAATCACTGACTTCACTATATACCGCAGTATATATGTAAATAAACAGAAATTTGTGCAAAAATAGCCTGCAAATGCTTTAGGAGAAAAAGAAAAAAAAAAAAAAACCTTAGATGCAGATGACAAAAGCGACCATCTGGAAATCATTGAGAACTGGTTTCAGTGCAAAGGCAGTTGCTTTCTGCACACTGCCTTTTTGGGGAGAGCAAGCCTGCCCCAGCCCACGTGTGGGACAGGACACCCACACCCTGCCAGGGAGGAGCTGCTGCTAGCACTGCACTGCAGCCCAGCCACGCAGGGGCACAGCAGAAATGCAGCCTTGGGCCAACGCACGGAAGAAAATGAATATATAAAAACGCATATGAAACCAATGAATTGCCTACTTTGGGAGAACAACACGATAGGGAATATTCTGAATGTATGTAAATGTGCAAAGCAGCTCTGTGCCAGTCTTTCAGCAGCACAACAGCACCAAAATCCTCACTCAGCTGGGCTTCCAACAGTGCATTTAATTCCCTGCAAAGCATTTCCCTAACAATGAGGCAAGCCAGCTTCTCTTCTGATGGCAAAGGTGGGAAGGTTGTTATCAGAGGCAAAGCTGGTTTCTTTGAGGCAATACATGGAAGAACCCTTTGAATGTAGTCAGAAGGGTGATTTGATCTCACACTGCCAGTGGGATTCTCAGGGGAAAACTCAAACTTCAGTGTCCCTCCAGCACAGAGCAAACCTAATTGTACAAATTAATAGACAGCAAAATCCATTACTTTTGTTGCACTAAAAGGTGCATCCAAAAAGCATAACCAATATATGAAACCACATTTTATTCCTCTGTCTTTGTCACAGAAGGAAACAACACTATAATTACATTTCCCAGATTTTGCAAGGGGTGGCAAACAGCATTTAAGTGCTGCATTGAACCTGATCGAAACGCTCAGTAAAAGTCTCCAGTGAGTCTCTGGAGAGCTCCAGAGCTTCTCCCCACTGTGCCATCTGCACAGCCTGGCTGCTGGCAGAGAGCTGGCAGGGCCCAGCTCTGCTCTCCAATAAACCTGTGCACTTCACTCCCTCCCCAGAACCAACCTGGGCACTGGCTCTGCCCACCTGCCGTGGGATGTGCCTGGTTACAGTGGTTTACAGCTTCTCCCTGGTCTGGAAGGTCACACACCTCACAGAGCTGAGCTGAGGGAGCATTCCAACCCCCTTCACAACTGTCCTCCCCCAGACAAGAGATCACTCATCATTTACCAACTGTGGGCAAAGGGATTCCTGGCGTTGAAATAAAAAATATACCCAGGACAAAAGGTGCAGGAACACGGACAAAATTCTGTGGTGCAGAGGCTGACAGAACAGCCAGATACCAGTCAGGAGCTTCAGGCAGAGAGGCAGAACAGCTGAGAGGGCACTTCCAGTCTATGCCCAGCTCCTCAGAGCAACAAACACATTAAAACACCATCCTTGTCACTAAACCCGAGCGCTCCCCAGGTCACCGCGGGGATTTTTGCAGCCAGCCAGGTGGCACAGACGGTGTGAGGGCCCCTGTAGGATTCCTTCAAATCAGAGAGTTTTGGGCACGTTGCAAAAGGCAGCCCTCAGAGACAGCAGGATGGCGATTAGAGCTAAGCAGTAGCTATAAGATTTGTCAGCAGAAAAATTATACATGTAGAAAGAAAAGACAAATAGAACCATGGTCTGTGTATTAACGCTTGGGTAGAATAACTGCCCAAGTTGCAGAAAAGTATATCTAGTGAGATATTAGGAAGTTCTAAGCTTAATTAATTGTATCTTAAGGTTTACAAGCAAGTGTCTATTTGAAATAAGCAAGCATTGTTTTAACCAAAGGTACGTGCATTTATGGTGATTGGATAGAACTACCATCAATATGCTTTTGTGTAATTGGTCAAAAAGCTTATAAAGTGAGTTGTAACATTAAGTTCTTGGTCTGCTGGCTGGGATGCGAGCTGCTGGCATCTTCCCATTGTCATAACCATGTAATGATGTTGAGAATTTCTGAGAGAGAGGGCATGATTTATGTCTGGAGTGAGAATTGAGCTGCCCCTCAGACCAGACCCCTGATAAGCGGCCTTGAGGGGGCCTAGAAACCTTTGATAAGAATTCAGTTGTGGCGCAGTTAGAAATGATGTTAAGGTAACTACAAAGTAATGAGCTACCTGAGTGTGAATTAGGGTAGAGCTGCAGTGTGAAAAGCCTGACCACCTTAAGGCAAAGGTAAACAACATTAGAGTGTCTTTGTAAACTATAAAGAAGTGTACCTAAACTGCCACCTTCTCTCGAATAACCGGAGAACCATTAACCATACTGGTTCCAAGCGCGTTCCCCATTTTTTGAGGACCGCGTGTTCCTAACGAGAGTGATGCTGAGGAACAACCCGCCGGAGACGCGTTCCGCGGCCATCCCCTCCCGCGGCCGTCTGCCCGCGGCGCCGCGCTGACCTCGTCGGGGCTGGAGGCCTGGTACACCCTGCAGGAGTCCTCGTAGTGGCGCTCGGCCTCGGCCTGGTCGGTGACGCCGTTGGACTCGTAGACGGGCGTGACGTTGTGGCACAGCGCGATGGCCTTGACGGCCTCGTGCACGCGGCTGCTCATGCTGCGCCGCACCTTGGTGGCCAGCGACGGCCCCTTCACGGCCGGCGGCTCCTGCGCCTGCTGGGACAGGGCGACAGCAAAAGGGCTGTAAAATCACCGGCACTTAGCGTTAGGAGGAAAAATAAGCTTAGCAGGCCCTGGGAAAATAAACGCCCTAAGCGCACGGAGAACTTATACGTGCTAGAACTGCACCTGTACATGGTAAATGATATAACTGTTGGATGTGATCATTGTTTAGTAATTAAATATAATTGCTGTTTAATCGTAAGAATAATCATGAGAAACTGTGGTCAGGGGCCTAAGAAAGATCACGAGAAACTCATGTCAATGTATACAATGGAACAATATAAGTTTAATAATGAATATGTAAGTTATATAGATGATAGAAGTTAAAACGATAGAACATAAAATACATTCAGCTTGAAAGACGTGTCGGAGACAGATTTGGGTCTGTACCCCTGATTCCCTGAGCTCTCAATAAAAGCACCTGCATATAATCACATCCCATGATGATGTGTGTTCCCAAATGCTGACAAGGGGACAGGCAAACCTCTGAGCTGGGATTGTACAGACAGCCACATCCGCATCCCCAAAAACCAGGCACAACCACACCCTCGCTCAACCCGGCCCTGGCAACGCCCCAGCACGGCTCAACTCCTGCAGCGTCCTCCTGAAAGCCCCCAAAAGACTGAAGTTTTGGGACATTACACCAACCAAAAGCCTCTCTGCTGCAAATCCACCCAAAGGGTGACACGCTAGCCTCAAAAGGCTCAAAGAAACCTCTTTTTTACTCCATAAAAAAACCACTGCTTTGGGAAATTCAGAATCACTTAGGTTACAAAAAGATTGAAGTTTTGGGACAGTACACCAACAAAAAGCCTCTTTGCTGCAAATCCACCCAAAGGGTGACACGCCAGCCTCAAAAGGCTCAGAGAAACCTCTTTTTTACTCCATAAAAAAAACACTGCTTTGGGAAATTCAGAATCGCTTGGGTTTCATGTGCAAGAGGATATAATTGGTGAAAACACAAAACAGATGACTCGTATGGAGCTAGAAAATCTTAATTACATTCATTTATTTTTTAATACTATTTATAGTATCAGAATGGGAGTCTTCAGATAATTGCACAATTACTAAATTATCCCAGTTGAAGAAGGGACACACAGTGATCCAGTTTCCTGCTCTGTTAACCTTTAGTGTCAAGAGGACAAAAGTTTCACTTCCAGGTCAAAGGGCCACAACATGGTAAAAATAAGAGCAAAGAATAAGATCTACAGTTCAAAATGAATCATTGCCAGCAAATGCTTCTCATTATAAGGAATCTTACTTGGTAATTATGGAAGTTTTATGAGACATATATCCATTACCAGGGTACTTCCACATGTTATTTTCTACACTAGTGATTAGGTCCCATAAGATCTTCAAATTTAGCATCGCTGCTCATCAGCACTGCTGCCAAAATCCAACAGCAAAAAGACAGAACAGTATAAAGACAGAACAGTATAAAACACTTCAGCTGAAGTGCACTTGGTCACTGCTCACACACTGGACTAGCCAGTCACCCAAATATTCCTGACAAATACTGGACACTTTGGCAAATAATCCATCAGTAGTCAAGTTTTCTCTAGAGATTCAGTGTAAAGCGAAGGCAAATAAAGCTGAAGTCTGGGGATTTGTGATTTGGGGTTTTTTTGTTGGTTATTTATTTTTAAATACGGTTCTGTCATATAAGGGTCTCAACGGCAAGAGAAGAACCAAATGCCAGGAAGGAGAAAGAAAAGAGATAGTGGATATCTAAATAGAAGTTATTTTAGACTCAGACCTCAGCAACAGGACACAGGCACACACACTTGCAGGTGATGTGAAACAACCCACAGAACACAATGAGCAATCTGAATATTAATTATGAATTAAACATCCACAGACCTTCACGCTTCCCCAAAAGCAGCTCACAAGCAGATCCCTACCACATGAATTCAGTGCTGGCCCAGTGATGTGGAATTTTGGGGTGAGGGAGCCAGGGAGTGCAGCTGCTGGTACCTGTGTGTAGATGCTGAAAATGTGGCTCTGCACCTCGTCCATGGAGTCCAGGCCGTAGGCCACCGTTCCCAGGTGGAGTCTCTTGAAAACCATCTCGTTCTGGGTGAGAGTCCCTGGGAAAAGAGCACCGTGCATGGGAGCAGCTGCCAGCACAGCCCCTGTCCTGCTGTGCCTCAGGCACCCCCTTTTGATCCACTTGTCTGTCCACACTATAAATAAAAGCAGGTAGGGATGGAGGATTTCTTGGATTTCCTCCCACCACTTGGAATCCCACTTTGGTGCTGCCTTCTACCAGAACTTCACTGTGTGTCCAAATTAAACCAGCTCTGGGCCAGGGTTATTTAAGTCACAGACCTGAGGGCTGGGGGTGTATAAACAGCAGTGAGATTCACCTCACAGTCACTGCCAGCAGGAGCTGCAGTTCCCACTGGAACCAAAAACACTGGAAGCTGCTTCAGTGGGACCAGGATTTTATGTCAGACCAAACTTTTCCTTACAGCTCAGGCCCTCAATTCAAGCTCAGGTTCAGAAGTGTAAGGGCAGCAGCAGACAGCTTCTGCCTACATATGTAAGTTATCTTAACCTGGCTTTGAAAATCAGCTCTAAAAAGTTGATTTTAATTTTATTTTTACCCTCAGCTTTTGTTGTAATAACGTGCTTTAAGTATTCCTTCAAGTAGTATAATATTCCTGTCCTACCTTACTTACAGCACATTCAGAACAAAAAAAAGCAGAACTTCTTTTTCAAAAACTGATTAAATCATATTATCAAAGTGACAGGAAATGCATATTTCTTCCAGTCCAAAGAAATCTCACATTATCCTCTTTTCCTGGCCAAAAACATAACAAAATCCAAACCACATGCCATGACTCAAAGCTGTGTTTTCTGCACCAGTACCTGTTTTGTCTGTAAGCAAATAGGAAATCCTCCCCAGCTGCTCAGGGATGGTGCTGGACCGAACCACAGTGCCAGGGATTTTGGAATCTCTGCGGATCACCCAGCTGTACACAATCTTCCCCATGTCCAGATTCACACGTAAACTGCACAGGAGGAAAGAGAAAAAGGAAAATAAAAAGCTACCACCAGGTAAACTTTGGAAAAAGTCCTCGTGAACTGCCACAGTGAATGAAAAGACGAGTTCCACAGTGAGCCCGAGGTGCCAAAGGAGAGTTTCAGGAGAAGTTTATTCAGAGTCAGTGCTCCGGTGGCCAATGTAATTACAGTGTGATTCAAAGACAGATGACAAAATTGAATGAGAAGAGCAGATATGATTTGAGGGTGGACAGAGTAAGTGATGGATACCAGAGAGCAGATTAGAAATGGAACTGAAATGAATCCCAGTCCTGAACCCAAAGTAATTTACTAATCTACTTACTAATACAGTACAATTTAATATCAAAGTTTCATTGCCCTCTAAATGTATTCCCCTACATTCTGTACAAAACACCCTCAATTTCCATTTTTTGCTCTGTTCTTATCACAGCAACCTCCTTACACTGAGAGAAGTGAATTTAAATGCCTAATACACAGCCTGAGCCAGTGAATGGGCTAACAAATGGAACAAATTCAGCAGAAACAACAAAGCAATTCTTATGTTTGACCAGTAACTGCACTCCTGGCCTTGCTCACTGTGACAGGAGGAACAGGAAGAGCTGAGGTGCCCGAGCAGGCTGTGCTGTGCTGGGGAACATTCCCAGCTGTCCCCTCACCTGATGGGAATGATATTGGAGAACAACAGCAGGAACCTGATGATCTGCAGGTACCAACGGCCTGCAAAGTGCTGAAGGGCCACCATGACCAGGGACACCACCACCAGAGCCCCAAAGAGGATCTTGGTGAGACAGTTCACCTCCAAATCAAAGAGGCCAATCTAGAACAGCAGGAGAGATTTCAGGCACACAGACGAAGGTGTCAGCTCAGGGCAATGTTCAAAAGGAAGTGAGCTGCCACTCCATTCAAAAATCCATTCCCACTAGTCAGCTCCTCTTCTTTCAAAACACTACAAACATATTTAAATTTATAATCAATACTCTTGCCAGCTTATTGAATGAGATTTCCATCCCTCAGAAGCTCAGCAGAGGATGCAGAGGTGTGGGAGGGCTCAGCCTGCCACAAGCTGCAGGCTGAGCAAACGTCCCTGCACCGTGGCTTAGCTGTGCTTCAATGGAAGAATGCAGCAAAAGTAGCTGTTCTATTCCAACAGGGACTGCCTCATTAGAAACATGTACAACAATGGTTTTGACAACCTTAAAAAGAGCATCAGGACACGTGTATAATAGGATGAAAAAAATCAGGAGAAATAGGTTCTGTTATGGTAACTATCTTAAATCACAGGCTGGAAAATATGAATTATTCCTGTGAGGTTCTCCCTGTAGTGTATACATAGAGTATTTGGAAGGATCTTCTTTTAAAAAATGATCTGTTTCTGACCCTTGTTATTTTTACAAACCTGTTTCTTCACCATACCTTACTTCTTGGGTTGGAAGTATTCATCACACTGCGCAGCTCCCTGCCCGTGTAGAGGACAACTCCCACCACAGTACCTGCACACACAAAGGTTTTCTCCATCAAAATACTTCTCAGGTGGAGAGCATTTTCAGCAGGCTAATTTCAGAAGCAACCAGAAATTCAAAAAGCTGATATCTGCAATACAACACCTATGAAAACACAGACTGGAACAGGAAACATCCTCCCAGGCAGTAATTCAGTCCCAGGGTTGGGCTGGATGCAGCATCCCAGACTCCAGCAGCTCATGGGAAGAGCAGCCAGCTCTGCTCCATCTTCCCTGACCCCCTTTTGATCCACTTGTCTGTCCACACTATAAATAAAAGCAGGTAGGGATGGAGGATTTCTTGGATTTCCTCCCACCACTTGGAATCCCACTTCGGTGCTGCCTTCTACCAGAACTTCACTGTGTGTCCAAATTAAACCAGCTCTGGGCCAGGCTTATTTATTGGTAAAGGCTGGAACAATCAGAGCAAATCCAATGAACTCAGAGCTCAAAGACATAATTGCCTCATTTTACAATCTACAATTTCCTTTAAGTGTTTATCTAAACACTGCTCCTACCACAAAGTGAATCATACCAACTCCTGCCTTCCTGGAACAGATGGAGCTGCTGGGAGCCCATCAGTGAATTTGAATGCTCTGTCCCACAGTTGCTAAAGAGCTGAGAGCAATGAAGTTCTCATTTTTCTTCTTGCAGAAACATATTTCAGTTTAGCACCATAAAATACAGGGTTTCTATGGTTTTTCTCTTAAAGACTTTGCAAAGAGCCATGAAGAAAAAGCTGTCTACCATCAACAGTTTAATAGCTGCTATTGCCCAGTGTTAGGAGTCTCTAAAAATGGAGAAAACCAACTCTAAAAAAAAGCACTGCTGCCAATACATTGATACTTTATACTCTCCTGTTCCCTGCTCTCACTTATAATCAGTTTTAACAAGCTGCAGGTGACTTATTTTTAAATAAGGCTGATTCAAGAGAGGTGGTTTCTAAAAATACACTGAGAAACACTCCTTTAAAAAAACACCCCCAAAAACAACAACAAATCCTCGGAGCCAGATGGCAGGTGGTGGTAAGATCATCACAATTCAGATCAGCAGATGGCACAGCTACTCCAAATCCACTGCAAACAGGCAGAGTCAGACCCAGCCCTCCTGCAGCAGATGGAGAAAGACACATTGCTCTGCTTCATCTTACAGGGGCTGCCCCAGCGAGATGGCACCACTCACAGCAGAAGAAAAATAATATCCACATTTTCTCCTAACAGAAATAACCTACAACATGCTATTTGTTGTTACCACAGGAGAAACAAAATCCAGTATTGTATTGCTAAGTCAGTCAAAATGAGAAGAAGCACCTGCCAGGACTATTAAAAGCTTGAGGAGCTGTAAAAAAGGAGTGTTTCTAGTTGGTTTATGGCCATTTCAGACAGACTCAGTGGCATAAACCATTTGAAATTATATTTGCAAATGCACTGGCAAGTCTCTCCATTTGACAAGTTTCATTCCAGAGCTGGACTCCAGAATTCCACTCTCCTCCAGCTACTGCCCAGCAAACACTCTGGGCAGGAGAGGAGCAAGGCTTTTACTGTGACAAGCCTCTACAGGGGGGCATTGATTCATCTCAGGCCTCGGGAGTTTATCGTACACATGAGTCAAAATCTGCCAAAGACTTGATTTTTTTTTTTCCTTTTTTAAGAGTATATAGGACAAACTCAATGGAAGCACTTACCTGGAAATCTTTCATCTCAGCTTCTGTTCCCAGAATCCATTTGACACCATTTCTGTTACAGATTAGGATGTCAATGTGCAGGGCAATTAAGTGCTATTCTGCTCCTAGATGCTAAAGAAGGGCCCCAAAGGCCACTCCACTTCTTTCTCATCTAGAAATGTCCAAGAGGCAATTAGATGTCAGCTCAGCTCCCCAGAGGTGTCAGGACAAGGGGGAAACCTCATTCCAACTGCTAATTTCTCCAACTGACAGAATTATTATTCCATCACAGAAATACCTTTAAAAATTGTTAACATATTCCCTTAAAAACAATTTTACATGAGTCTCCACCTTACCTGATGCAATCACTGTGCTGGCCCACAGGGTGTTTTCTATGCTTAAACTTTCATTTACTGCAGGGTCACTGTCTTCCTGCAATGGATGAAAAAAGAAAAATAAACTCGTCAGTAATGGAAAAGAGCAGAGGATGAGAAGAGTCCACAGAGGTGTTTGGGGAGAGGTGCTGGGCGAGCTGGCAGAGGATTTCGGATAGGATGGAGAAGTTTCATAAGCCCTGGTGGCTCTCTGGCTGCCTCCACACCCTGCCAGCAGACTCACCCTGGTGAAGGTCCCCACGAAGTTGTGGATGTCAATGTTGGGCTCCTCTGCGTAGACGTAGGAGCGGATTTGCAGCAGGTCCTGCCAAGCAGACACATCCATCAGTCCCACAGCTACAGCCACCCACAGCCTAGCAGCACACAGGGCTTTACCAGAGCTGCACCAAGAGTCACTCGGCGTGGTTTAGAACCAACTCCTCTCGATACCTGCGGCACCCCCAGAGCCCCCCAGACAGCACAGCTGGGCAGCAGCAGCACTGAGGGGATTTCAGTGTCCACCCCTGGCACTGCTCCGTGCCCAGGAGCAGCCCCGCAGCCTGCAGGCAGGGCTCGCAGGTTGTTGGAACTCAGAATGGCCCTCAGACATTTTTAGAGGTTCCAGGCCTTGGTCAGAAGCATTTTAGATCCCAGCAGGCAGCTGCAAACAGCTGTGATTTTGAGTTTGAACCATGGAATGAATTACCAACTTTGAAGGTGGAACAAGCAGTCACAAAGGGTTAGATGGGATAGTAAAAGTAGTTACAAAACAGAAGGGAAATTTTTTTAGTATTGTACAGGGAGGTTTTAGCACCTGTCCAGGGGGGTTTTTACTTTGTACATGGGGGTCAGAAGTTCTAAGATGGAGGAAAGTGGGCTGATCCTGTTATTCCTCCTTCTTCTTCCTTGCCTCCATGTTCTTGGTGATGTTGGCACTCACAGATTGGTTTAGAGTAGAAAAGCACTTTGTAATATAGGTAATAGGCATTGGGGAAAAACTGTAACCATGTAACACATAATGTACATATAAAAGATAGAAAAGCACCATTTAATATAGGTAATAGGCATTGGGGGAAAACTGTAAACATGTAACACGTAATGTACCATATAAAAGATAGAAAAGCACCATTTAATATAGGTAATAGGCACTGGGGAAAAACCATAAATATGTAACACGTAATGTACCATATAAAAGACAGCAGCAGCCCTGGGCGGGGAGAGAAGAAGCAGTCGGGGTCAGAGAGGATGTCAGGGTGTGTGTGTGCCTCTGCTTGAGCTGTGAGCAAACCACAGCAGCCCCAGGAGAAAATCTTTTAGATAACTTGCAATAAACTGCCTTGAGACCAAACACCAGAGACTGCTGAGCCTTTCTTTGGAAGCACGGGTTGGAGGAGAGACTTTTCCAGCACACGAGACCCCAGAGCAAGCCCAGGGTCTCGGAGCAGGTGAAGCCCCCCCTCCCAGCCCAGCCGGGGCAGGCTCACCGAGGCCGTGGGCAGGCGCTGGGTGCAGCCCACGGGCAGGCGCAGCTTCCAGTCCGTCTCGCCGTCCAGCTGGTCCGTGCGCAGGAAGCAGGAGCCTGGGGATGGAACACAGTCAGGGACCCTTCTGCTCTGCCCAGGCACAGCCACAGCTAACCCAGGGCATGCTTCCCCCCCAGGGCACTCACAGCCTTCTTTTGATAGCAAAAGGGTTTTAACATCATGGGCATTTAGGGTTAAAAGGAAAATTAAGCTTAGTAGGCCGTGGAAAAATAAATACCCTAGGTACATGTAGGCCTTGTACCTTGCTAGAACTGCACCTGTGTAACTAGTACGTAATAAATGATATAATTGTTAGATGATGATTGTTCAGTAATTAAATATAATTGCTGTTTAATAGTAAGAATAATCATGAGAAACTGTGGTCAGGGGCCTGAAGAAAGATCATGAGAAACTCATGTCAATGTATACAATAGAACAATATAAGTTTAATAATGAATATGTAAGTTATATAACAATAGAATATAAAATACATTCAGCTCGAAAGCCGTGTCGGAGTCAGATTTGGGTCTGGACCCGATTCCCAGAGCTCTCAATAAAAGGACCTATACAGATAATGATATCCTGTGATTTTGTGTGTTCCTGAACACTAACACTTTCTCTGGAAACAGGGTCTGATTTACATTTGTTCATAATGAACGATGGCGTTCCTGCACCCCATTCCTTTCCTCCACTAGGCCAGAATTCTCTGTGCTATACCTTTTTAAGACACTTGAAATGTTCCCATTAATCTGTTTTCTAACCCTTCTGATCAAACATTTCCTAATCCCACACTTAACAAAACAAGCCTGAACTGTAAGTAAATATATCTAAAATGCAACCAGATTCATTTACCCCAGACTCAACCCCTACATTCTTTCATTAGCAAACAAAAGTAGAGTATAACATCCTGAGAAGTGGTGGTCCATAAAACCACTTGAGTTCCCCCTCTCTCTAAAATTTTACTATTATCTATTTCTTTCACATTTCCCAAAGATAATTTTCTCCAAACAACCAGTGAAAGGTTAATGGCCATTTTGACAATTGGTTCCAGATGTTTACCATTCTTCTCTGACGTCCTCAGGAAGATCATGTCAGCAGGGACCCTCTGGTTCTGGGAGGAGAAGAAAGGCCATGATTGTGCAGGCAGCCCTGCACGCGTGTGCAGCGCCCTGCCAGAGCAGAGGCACAGAGAGGATTCCTTTGTCAGCCTGGAGCCTGGGACTCTGCTCTGAATCCTGAACTCGCTCCCCTGCAGAATTCCAAGCGCAGGGCAATAACTGGTGCCAGCTCCCACCGGCCAGACCCAAGGGTTAGGTTTACAAAAGGGCTGCAGAGTAATTCTAGAAGTATGAAGGAATCTTAAACTAGTGCTGGTTTCCTTTCAAGGAGTCCCATGCTAGCAGAAAGGTTCTATCTGCAATCTGCAGCTACCAAGTTTCTCATTTTCACTGAGAGTTTTCATACTAATGGTTTTAGAGGTCACAGCTACATGCAGAGAGTGGGTGGGAAAAACATAAAATCAGTGGATTAAAAAAACCACATTAGAAGTTGTAGGAAGGGGGAAATATACCTGTATGTACCAGTACCTACAGAGAGATCACTGGGCCTCCCAAAACTGCAATGCCAATACCCAAAGAAACACCTGGGTGCTGCATCTGTTCCAGCTATTTAACCTGTGTCCAACACTCACAGGAAGGATAGGGAAGCTCTTTCTCTTGCTCTAGCATAAGTAAAAAATGAGGTTATAGGTGCATGCCTCATTTGTAAAGATATCTGATGTTACTGGTGAGATGGGAGAACCCTGTAAAGGGATTAAATATTTAAACTTATATTCAACACCTGCTATTCTAAGCCTATTATAAAGCAAGCAGGAATTCAAAAGATCTCATTTTCTATGGTCTTACACAAAAAAAAAAAAAAAAAAAAAAAAAAAAAAAAAAAAATTTTTTAAAAAAAAAAAAAAAAAAAAAAAAAAAAAAAAAGCTTTACACAGAAAGATGAATATAAAGGCAAACCTTTTCCACAATGATGAGGTCACCCACTTGTATGTTAGAGCTCTTCACCTTGACAGTCCCTGCAAAGGGAAGGAGCTGGTGTTAGAGCAGAGCAGGACAGGGCTTGGGGTGCTGTGTGCTGCTCCTCCCCTCCCTTCCTTCCCCTGCACTGTGGGGGCAAAAATGGGAAATGTTTCCACCACAGGAGGTGGGCAATGCTGCCCTGAAAAGAATCCTGAGCCCACTATCCCCACTAAGGGGTGGGTCCCAAAAAAGGGATGAAAGCCCCTCATATAACAGCCCCAGCCAGTCCCCAGTCATAACTCTGAAACAACTCCTTAAACTCCTTTTTGTCCTGCTTAACTCATGAATCCAAAACCACTTTCAGCATCGGGCAGATGCCAGAGCGAGAACAGAAAGCTACAGCAGGGAACCATCAAATCCAACTCCTCTCCTCAGGTGCCTGAGAACGTAAGGCTGGACTCCCAAGCCAAGGCCTCGAAGCTGGAATAAAACAGGTCCATCAAATTCCAGCCTCATTCCCTGCCCTGCTGCAGCTCCAGGATCTGGCTCAGCTCTGCCACCTCTGCTGTGCCTCTGGCAGGACTGGCCAAGCAAGCAGAGAACAGGTCCTCCAGAAATGGTGTAAATATTTATTCCCGCGCAGCTGTCAAACATTTCCCGGTTGCTTTAAAACAGGGGATTAATTTAACAATTGGCCAGTAATTTCGAATCATTAGCCAGCTCTAGATTTGGCTCCTCAGACTAACTAGTGATTTATAATCAGTTAATTTGAACCCTGCCTCCACGTGTCTGTTATATTTCAACAAAAGCCTCTTTAATCTGCTGTGATTTGAGTGGAAGTGGGGGAGGCACGTGGAGCTCACCCTGGCACGGACAGCACTCGTACTGTACCTCAAAATTCACGGGCTAACTGGCCAGATAGCAGCTCAGGGGGAAAGCAGAGGGGGAAAGGAGGGGGAATAGAAATTAGCACAAAGCACAAAGGTCACTGGGATTTTACTACTGGCAGTCCCTTCATTAGCATCCTTCTCAGGATATGCTTCAGTGTTTCTGCTCCAAATTAACAATGAAAGCCATTCTGGGCTGGGGGCAGCCTGCTGCTTTGGTGACACACTGTGTGCCTAACAACATGCTTCATCACTGCTGCTAATAAATGCAGACTTCCTTGCATGCTGTAATTATTCCTACAAATTATAAGCAGTCATGGCCCATTTCACAAATATCTCATAGGTCTTTCGTGGATTCTGGAGTTTGCCGTGTGAGGTTTTTTGATTTATTTAAAAAAAAAAAAAAAAGGGTAAACAAAATGAATGCTGGGCTAAAGACATCTCTGCCGGGGCAGGAAGCAAACTGGGGATTAAGAGTCCATTACGCCGGGGCTTGAAAAGAAAAGCTGCACTCCAAGAGGATCAAAAAAAGCATCCCTGGCAGTCCTCTGTATGGGCTATACAAAGTTAGGTACTATGACACTAAAAGGGTCTGACAGATAACATCTCTTCCTCTCCTTTTAATACGGTTATTCACAAAGCAACAAAAAGTGCTTTTGAATATTCTCCTGGGCAAAGGGAGGCGGGGGAAAGCCCGAGTGCTCCCCCACACAGGCACAGCCACTGCCGACCCCAAGTGCAAAAAAGTGTGCATTTGTTTAACCATATTTTCTGTATTCTCTCCGAGAGCACGAGGATTTATCTGGGGACTGTCAGAAGGAGCAGAGCTACCTGCAGGGTTCAGGCAAACTTATTTTGTGAGGTTTTCCTTAACGAGGTTAAAAATCACTCTGCAAAAGAAAAATTAATGCCTGGACAAGGCTGCAACGTGATGATTTCCTATCATTACGCACATAAAAGGCTTTTGGGATCATTATGCTGAAAACAGTATCATCTGCTTTAAAATCTTTCCAATTTGAGAAAACCCAAAGCAGCTGGAGCAGATTTGTCTTGTTCACCAAGCCTCCCAAGCTCAGCTGTTGGAGGGTAAAACAAAGAGGGGACCTTTCTAAGCAGCACACGTTTTTATAACTCCTGGATAAATGAGATGCCCTTTTTGGGTAGCTAATTCTGCTTCTGCAGCCTCCCTGGCCCCGTGGGTGACATCTCTGCAGTGTGCACCACACGTCCTGCTAAGGAGGCCCAGGACCAGATGTTTCCTTTGACTCAGGACTCCCATAAAGCAACTTGCTTGAATTAGTTTTATTTTGATCTTGGGAATTCTGTAATTCCCTTTTCTTTCTGTGGGGAAACTGCCACCTAAACATCAGATGTTTTCTCGTGCAAGTTTAAAACCAGCTAATAAGCACAACTGGTTCATTTCCCAGAATTGCTCTGCTATTTAATTATTTTTGTAATCATAAACTCCTGGTTTTCTAAGTGCAACTAAAAATGCTTCCTTGAAATACACACAGGTTTATTCAGCATTTATATCACTTTCAGTTTGTACTTAAGTTAATCAGAATAGAAGTTGGTGTTGATCACTTTTTAAAACTAGTCTTGATCTCTCATTCAAAAAAATCTGTTGTTAAAATTGGTCTGGTATTCATTTCATTCTCTGCTGTATTCTGATTTATCTTCTTTAGAGACAAGGAAGTAAACATAATCAAATGCAAACAGTTTGCTCCAATTTAAGCTATGGTTATTGAAATGATCACCAAATTTGCAGCATGATGGATGTACCAGAAAGCAGATCATTTCAAGTAAAAAATATATTGGCCAAAAAATATTCCCTTTTTTGCCCTGTGAGCACTTAGGTCAAAATTTCACAATAGATCTGAAAAGCTGCACTGAAGTACAGATCCAAACACTTACTTTGGAATTAAAGATGAGGCCACAGATTTACTAAACCAAATTAAACACATCTAAAAAATAAAAAATAAGGTGGGGGTAGGTTTTTTTGATGCGCTGCACCAAACTTTTGGCTTTTGTAGCCTTATGCTGTGGAGCAGGACTCGCAGAGTTTGGGAAAATATTGGTTTTTTTATGGCTGGTAAATGCCAATGATCTGTATCTTAAGTAGCACCCCTCAGTAGGAGGTCCCTTCCCACTTCTCTGTGGAGTTTCTCTCTATTATGCAGCGTTACCCAGGGAGGGGGGCTGCAGGAGAAGAAAAACAAGCCAGGAATTTGCAAGCACAGTCCGAGCTTTCCATCAAGCAGATCAGGACACAGACCCCTGAACACAGGGAGGCTTGTGCCTCATGAATAGGGGATTGAAATTTGATTATTTTTTATAACAATCCAAACATCTCTCCTTTCAATGCACAGCTTTCCACTAAAAAAAAAAAAAAAAGCTTTCCAGAAGTCTGCTGGTTTCATCATTTTAGAACATAAATGGATCATCTGGGTAAAAGGATAAAGAAGGTTTAGGGTGGAGGTTTTTGTCATCAGGTCTCAGCACAGGGCTGTGCCAAACCCCTGCAGCATGACCTGTGCTGGTCAACAGCAGCAAAAAAAGAAACAGCCTGCAAATAGCCCAAGTCCTGCTGTCAGCTACACTGAAAATTAATTGTTCAGATCAGCTGTTCCAAATTTATTTTGGTATTTGCTGCCTCTACCTCTGAGCTGGTGACACTCTCCCTTGAAAACTCAGCTCCTTCCTCTGACTGTATAAAGGGGTGAGATAAAACAACCCCCAAATTTCCATCCCCAGCCTCACCAGGCCCTTCCCTGCTCCCAGGTAATTCCCAGAGGAGCTGAGGTATAAATCAGCGGAAAATGAGATTATCAGCTCTCCCAAAAAATTAAGTTCTGAGATTCGGTGAGGGACAGAAAATTACTTTTCTCCCCAAACCATGTGACAATCATAAATAATTTTCTATGTTTTTTTTCTACTCTAAATTATACTACAGTCCCATTCCTGTTTCTGCAAAAATTCATGTTAAATACAGTGGCTTGAGATTTTCAGCTAGTGCCAGCTGCCAATCCTCCTTGGTTTCTTTCACAAAAATTAGAAAAGTTAAAGGACTGGGGGGAGGGAAATCATTCATGGGAAACGTAATAGCAATATGAAAAGAACTAAAGGAGAGGTCAGGCCCCTTATAGATCATTGAATAGAATCCAGAAGGCAACTCTTTTATATCTTTAAATAGATGTAGTACACCCCTCTTGCATGAGGCTTTTGTTGGTTGCCAAGCATTTTAAGTGTTGTACTAAGAACATGTTATTAAAGGGGGATTTAATATTCAGAAACTCCAAACTCCCCAGTTTGGAGTTGCCTCATAACTCCTGGCATGGGAAATATATCAGCCTTAAGCAATTACATTTGAAAAGCAGCCTTATTCCTACAAATGCAGCCTATTTTTACTACACCTCCATCACTGCATCTTAATTCAGGGCTATCAACTTCTATAACTAAGAAACTGGAAATGGAAAAGCAGCAAAACTTGCTCAAATTCAGTTCATTCCCTTTTTAAAACAAAAGCCTGGCCTCACCATCTTTGCCGTGGCATTAGGAGTAAGTCCGTAGTGAGGCAGCACTAGACTGCTCACAGGAGAATTTCAATTCTTTGTCAGGTACAGCACGGCTGGAAACAAGGGCCAGAGCTGGGCCAGGCTCAGCTGAGCCCCAGCCTGGCTCCCTCCCAAACCCCAAACCCCAAACGGGGGCTCCAAACTCCTCAGGCTGGCCAGGAGCTCAGGGGGATGGACAGGAAAATGCAGGAGCTGATCCTGCCAGAACTGCATCAGCTTCTGCTGGCAAACACACCCCTCACAGACATTTTAGGGTCTTTTTAGGCTCTATAGGGTGGGGATGCCCTGGAACAGAATTCCCAGAGCAGCTGTGGCTGTTCTGGATCCCTGGCAGTGCCCAGGGCCAGGCTGGGCAGGGCTGGGATGGAATTCCCAGAGCAGCCGTGGCTGTTCTGGATCCCTGGCAGTGCCCAGGGCCAGGCTGGGCAGGGCTGGGATGGAATTCCCAGATTTGTTGTGGCTGTCCTGGATCCCTGGCAGTGCCCAGGGCCAGGCTGGACAGGGCTTGGAGCAGCTTGGACAATGTAAAGTGTCCCTACCATGGATGGGGTGGCACTGGATGATCTTTAGGGTCCCTTCCCACCCAACCATCCCACGAACCCCTCAGCAAACCCCAACTCCAGCAGAGCCACCCAGGAGCAGCCCCAGATGGCAGCAGCAGCAGCGTGGCCACGAAGGCACGTGCGCGGGAGCCCCGAGCCCCCTGCCAGGCCTGAGCTGTGGCTGTGGCTGGCAGCAGGGCAGGATCTGGGGCCTGGAGCCCACCTCTGGCCGTCAGCTTGCTGTAGATCTGCGAGTTCACCTCCTTGTCCCGCACGTAGCAGCGCAGCTCCTCGGCCGCCTCGCGGATCACGGTGACAGCCAGCACAAACCCCTGCCAGCAGCACGGGGGGAAAGAGCAGGGAGCAAAAGGTCAGGCAAAAAATCACCTCTGCCTCCGAGACAGCAAGATTCATCAGTGCCAGCACCAGCAATCTGCATTTCCTTTTTCTGTCCCATCTTCCCGAATCGGCTGCTGTGCAACCCCCAGCACCAAACACACACCAGCTGCTTAAAAACACCCTTGGAGCTCAAGAAACTTTCCAGTTTTAACATGATGCTTTCCCCAAGCACATCTCTGTAAAGGTAACCCCCAAGCAAGTCTTTGTAAACTTATCCCCAAGGAAACCTTTGTGGAGTTTCCCTGAAGAATGCAAGTACCACATCTCATTTCACCTCACAGCTGAGTAACTCAGAGTGAGAAATCCAGGCTAAGGCAGATCCCTCAAATCTTGGTGCTCAGCACCTCAGAGCCACTGAAGTCAGCACATCTCATCTGGGAGATTTGTTTGTACAGAAATGTATACAGAAATCTGTATAACTCCCTTTTTATACATACAGATACACAGAGGATGCATGTGTGGATGTATGCAGACACTCCACCTACACAAATAACTCCATAGAGATATTATGTGCTCTACTCATGGCATAATTACACGTTTGCCTGATTAGGGCTCCAGTCCTGCTTTTCTGTGCATATGAGCAGTCATTTCATTTCCTGTTGCCATGAGGAAACGCCTGCATCACATCCTTCACTGTATAAAAAATAATTAATGCAAGCCAATTCTTTATGGGCTTGGTATCACAAAGTCATGTTTCTAACAGAGACTATTAGCTCGGACTCACTAAACAGTTAAAACACTCCTCATGCACCAGAGAAAATGAACTTTTTACAGCTTGTGTTGAAAGCTGAGACCAGGTACTGATTACCGCTGTCAATAAGGAACTTCAGGAAGGGAGCAAGGTGACATGAGAAACTGCAGATTTCTAGTGCTTACACATATCTAAATGTGTGATCTAACTCATTAACATAGTAATGAAATGCATTCATTCATTTACCTAGAAATTCCTACCTGCTTTCCAAAATAAAACTAAAAAAGCATCAGCTATTTTCAGCTGAGGTTCCAGCTGTTTGAAGAGTCTTTAAATAATCACCCCAAAATATTCCCATATGTTCCAGCTGACTGTGTCATCTCATGTGTCATTCACGGAGAATCCAGGCTTTAAAAAAATGGAATTTTAACAGCAGTGTCCCAAAGCTGCCCTTCCCCTTCTTTCTGGCTTTTACCAGGGATCTCTCTGCACTGAAAGCTGAACCCAACAACATGCACAGCACAGACTGTTAAAATACAAGTCAAAAATATTATTTAAGGCACAAACACCCCACAGAAAAGGCAGTGCAATAAATTTTGTCAAGCACCAAAACGTTCTTGGATAAATAAATGTTGAGTGACCTACCAGAGGAACCCAGTATGTGTAAAGTGCTCCAAGCCTCATCTCAACCACGAACTGAGAGCAGGCCAAGAGCAAGAAATAAAGGTTGAAGAAGTATTTGAACTGGTTAAACAACACCTAAAAAAAAAAAAAAAGAAGAAGACAAAAAGAGGAGGGAGGATGTTATGCACGTTGAAGTAACCACCAGAAGCATTTCTGCATGCATTCCTAGTGACTAAATGCTGACTTGGGGCAGATTTAAAGCAGTCCTGGACGCACAGGACGCTTCTGTGTCTGGTCTGCTGCTGCCCTGCGGCGGTCTTGGCATGAACTCTACCAAACACAGCCCCATCATTTTCTCCAGCCCCACATTCTGCACTTATCTACTGTGAAACCACTGGAAAATGGGGATAGCACTGGGGTGGGATGACGAAAATGAACTGTAGTGCTGCTTACCCCAGGGAGGAAGGTGAAGAAGTTGTACTTCTGGTTGTTGATGACATTGCGGGGGTACCTCTGCTCCCTCTTCTCGGGGTGGCCGAGCCAGACAGTGCGAGGCCTGGGCTCCCTCCTGCCACAGCACCTCAGGCACTCGCAGCACCTGCAGGGGACATCCACCCACCGTGAGCTCATTCCACACAGCCCTGCACTGCCTGAACAGCCCCAGCTGCCAACAGGACCCCCAGGCTGGCACTGAGCCCACCGGGAGCTCTGCTCACAACG